TTATTATTATTATTATTATTATTATTATTATTATTATTATTATTTATTATTATTATTATTATTATTATTATTCTATTATTATTATTATTATTATTATTATTATTATTATTATTATTATTATTATTATTATTATTACTATTATTAATTATTATTATTGTATTATTATTATTATTATTATCGTTGTTGTTGTTGTTGTTATCATTATTTATTACTACTATTGTTAACATTATTATTATCGTTATATCCTTATCATTATTTAGTTCTGTGGTTTAACAAGAATCAGCTTAATTGAGGTATTTTTGGATAGAAATTAAACTGAAAAATATTTACCAAAAATAACAGCTAAAGCAATTGTCCATGATGAAGTATCACTTCTTATCGTATCATTATTATCACTAAAAGCCTCATCTGATGGATGATTATTCAAATCCGGAATTAGTGTCGTAGTTGGAAGGCCAATAGTTAATCGTACAAATTTTACTTCATTGTCATCGATTGTATTTCCTGATTCTGTGATAAAATCTGCGACATTTATTGTTGTCTACAAATAATATCATTTAAACCAGAAAATAGCAACTTGAGAAAAAAAAATGGAAGATCATATCGTTATCAAAATTATCACTTATTGAGACTATAATTATAATTACAAGATTAAAATGTTTATTAAGGCAATTTTTTATTGCGACTGTATTTAAAATTTTATTTTTTTTAAGCTACGAAAAATAATGAAACTCTTAAATTTTTCTTAAATGTTTCAGTTTAATAATTTTATAATGATTAATTGAAATTGTAAATTTTGATTAATAATGAAAAAAAGAAAATATTTGAATTTGTTGAGATATTCAAAGATATCTATAATGATATTCAATATTTGATTAAATGATGCAATTAACCAATTAATCTTTTTTTTTCAGTTTGGATTTTTTTTTAAAGATTTAACCTGTTCCATTTCTTTGGTTGATTTTGTAAAACTTTGTGAATAATCCAAATTTTCGTCTTCGATGATTTCTTCTTCCTCATCAATTTTAAATGTTGACGAAAGGCTTGTTGTTGTAGTTGAAAGTAGTAATTGATTAGATAAATTACTTTCCTCGATTATTTCATTTATTTTAGAAACGAAAATTGATCCATCCGTTTCTGATCCAATTGGTATTAATGAATCAATTTGTGCTACATTACTGTCACCATCAATAATTACCGTTGTTGATATGGAAATTGGTGACATAGTGGTTACAAATTCAGAGAATGTGGACAAT